CCCCATTGGCCCCAATCGGGGCAGGCCGGTTGGACCGTACCTGCCAGAAGCTGGACCACCCCTGTTGCTTGACACAGTCATTGCAGGGAAGAAACATCTGCACAGCTTGTGTTTCAAGGGACCTGGTGTATATGGCATATGGTTTGCTCCCCCTCTTAGTGCTATGTGTTTTAAACAGGACCACCTCTCTGAGAAAGGTTGTTTCCCCAGGTTGGGGATTAACAGGACTAAGGAAGAGAATAAATCAGTAAATCCCCCTAGTGTTACTACAGAAATACCATGTACTACTTATGAAGAACTTGGACTAAGACTGTTGGCAATAAATTTGGGACTTGTTGGACCCACATCCCCAGGGGTCTGCCCACCAGGGAAAGTACCAAAGCCTATACCCCTGGAGACTCACCAACACAGGGCAGTCCCAGGGAAGGCAAGCAGCGGGGCTAGGAGGATATTTCCTTCAGTCACTTCCTTGTAGCCTATCAGTAGAGCAGTGACCTTGAAATAGCCCTTGTAATGGAACACAGAGATTAACCTAGACAAGATTAAAATCGACAGAACTAGATAGAGACAGGATTTTTGGCAAAGGTCAGATAAGAAACAAGGAACTGTAGAACGTTACCCAAAACATACCATGATGTGATTACAGAGGCATGCTTATAGGATCAAATGGTATAAATATAGATGTAACAGGACAATAAAGAGAGAACCTGGCTATGATGATCAACTGAACGCTGCCTCTGTGTCATTCCTTCTTTGCCGACTCCGTCCACACCTCTGGGAACCCCTAGACCTGCTGGGGCTGGACCCCAACACCTACCCATGCATAAATTCATGCACCAGGCCTCTAGTTTGATTATAATCATTCACATGTTCATCTCTTAAAAATTGTGGGAGCATTTTATTTATATTTGTTAAAATATTGATGTTTAAGATTTTTGAGAAATATACATTTTTATTTAAATAAAAACCAAATACTTAAATAAAATTCCTTATCAGTATGAAGAGTATTGCCCTAACCGGTTTGGCTCAGTGGATAGAGTGTCAGCCTGCGGACTCAAGGGTCCCAGGTTCGATTCCAGTCAAGGGCATGTACCTTGGTTGCGGGCACATACCCAGTGGGGAGTGTGCAAGAGACAGCTGATTGATGTTTCTCTCTCACTGATGTTTCTAACTCTCTATCCCTCTCCTTTCCTCTCTGTAAAAAAATCAATAAAATATATATATATTTTAAAAAGTATGGAGAGTATGGCCTTTAGCCTAAAGGTGGCAACCAATGACAAAAATGCTATCCAAACATTCAGAGGTGTGCATTACATCTAAAATTCAAAGACTTTTTTTTGTTTTAGAGAGAAAGAGAGAGGGAGAGAGAGATAGAAACATCAGTGATGAGAGAGAACCATTGATCAGCTGCTTCCACACTAGGGATTAAGCCCACAATCCGGGCATATGCCCTGACCAGGAATCGAACCATGACCTCTTGGTTCACAGGTCAACACTCAACCACGGAGCCATGCTGGCTGGGCCAAATAACTTTATTTTAAAACAGGAAAGGGAAAAAATAAATAGTTTCTGGACAAGAAAAAAATTTTGTGGGTACAGTATGGGTAATCATGTTACACCAAATCAAAAACAAGACACTTAAATAGTTGTTCTACGTAATTTTTTTTCCTTTTTGTTTCAAGGTAATTTTATCAAAGAGCTTCAGAGTCTAATCTCTGAATGGCAATTTCTAAATGAGAGGGTGGGCAAATATGTCTAAATTTACAAGTCAATACTCTTCCCCAAGTCTTCACTATTATATATAAAAATATTAGGAGAAGAACGTATTCAACATCACAGTAGTATTTGTCCTTAAGTGTTTCGAACCAAAGAGTCTGGTAAACCTGTGGACGTGATCATCCTGGTCTTTCCAAGCTGGCATTCCCTAACAGCATTTGGAGCCCTGAGGGAAGCCCAGGATTACATCAGATCCATTCAGAGAGGGGTCAGAGGCCAAAGCAAATGGAAAAGAAAGGGGGGAAGATAAACTGTCCTAGGCCACATAACTTTTCAAATATGCTATATCCAGTCAATCCATTTATAAATAATGACAAAAATATTATTCTCCTACCATTTTGGTTGTTATTCTAATTGAACATCATTCTTCATTTTTTTCCTCAAATTTCCTAAGTGCATTTTAGCACTCCAATATGCAAAAGTAGGTAATTTATTAAGTCTATTTTTCCCTAAAATTGTATTTCTTATGGCCAAATTAAGTTAACAAATATCACTCCCAGCTCATCAATTTATAGCCAAACAATGTATTCCTGGTTTGGGGTAAAATAGTATCAAGTTTATTTTAAGTAAAGGATGCATCTTCCTTTTTAAAAAAAGAACAGTTAAAAACAAACAAACAAACAAAAAACCCAGAATGCCTTTTCCTACCCGAGGAAGGAACTAATTTCCTGGGAATGGCCTCATACTTAGAAATTAATAAATAAAGAGATAAAGATATAACGAGATAAGGAGATAAATAATCTAAATAAATAAATATAAAAAGCCACCCCCTAGAGAGGTGGTTATATACACAGATCACTGCCCACAACTCAGAGGACAATTCTTTTCACCTGAGTTTTTCTCAAAGTCTAGGCGTGATGGAGTAGATTTCCCCTGGAATATTCTGACAAAAGAAAACCGAGTTTTCTTGCAGCTCCCCAGTACAGCGCCTGTACAAGCTGTTGCCAAAGCCCTGCCTGTAGCGTCAGCATAAGCACAAGGCTCCATTACTTGGGCACAGACAGGCCCATTCGAGGCGGTCTGTGTACTAAAGTGAAGAAGGATTACATGGGTCCTGCCCCCGTAGCTCAGCTGGTTAGCATCGTTCCAGGTCAGAGCACATACAAGAACCAATGAATGTACAAATAAGTAGAACAACAAATCGATGTTTACCTCTCTCTCTCTCAAATCAATTTTTAAAAAATGATTACATGATCTTTGGGGTTCCTCCAGCTCCCAGGTTCTATAGACAATAAAGGGTGAGGGGCCCTAGCCAGTTTGGCTCAGTGGATAGAGTGTTGGCCCACGGACTGAAGGGTCCCTGGTTGGATTCCAGCCAAGGGCACGTACCTTGGTTGTAGGCTTGAACCCCGTCCCTGGTTGGGGCATGTGTGGGAGGCAACCAATTGGTGCGTCTCTCTCACATGGATGTTTCTCTTTCTGTGTCTCTCCCCGCCCTCCCACTCCTCTAAAACTCAATGGGAAAATATCCTTGGGTGAGGATTCTAACAACAACAAGGATGAGGGGGAAGAGGCTCCTTTGTTCTAAAGTCTGTATGTCTGTACCTCACTCTCCTGCAGCCAGGAGAGCAGACAGGTGGGGGAGGCTGTTCTTGCTGCGCGGGGCTTCGCTGGGTGGAATCCTCTTCCTGAATGCCTCTCAGTCCAGAGTCTTGTCCTGGGTTAAGACCTGCTTTGGGAGGAAGGATGGGTGTATACACTAACCAAACCGAGACCCATCTATGAAGTGACAGTGAGCAAGATCTAGCAAGAGTACAAGCACTCTCACCCTGACCCTGGGCTTCCCACCCTGTGGGCATCGCCGTGGAAAGCAGGCGATTTTTAGAAGCTGGCGTGTTTGTCGAGGACTTCTAAGGACCACACTCCTCAAGCGGCTCAGGGAAGAGCTTGCTGCATCACCTACAGGACCGAGGGGCACCTGCCTCCAGGTGGGCGGGCTGATCCCTGGTTCAGAACTGCTCCTGGACTTGGGGGGCCAGACCAGCCCTCTCCCCAGAGACTCCCACCCCTCCCCTCCCCGGCTGACCAGGGCCACTCCTTCTTCAGATGTGCTAATGCCTTCCTTCCCCAAGGATGGCCCAGCCCTGGGCGCTGACCTCTGCGTGGACCCGCCTGAAGCTCCCAGGGCCAGCGTGGGCACCGGCTGGCGCTGAAGAAAAGTCATTCCTTTCTTTCCGGTTTGGGGTGGGGGGGAAGTGGGCACTCTCACTGCTCCCCCCTCTCCTGGCCCCTCCCGGTCCTCCTGCCGGCTGGGCACCGGGTTAGTGGAGTCCTTTCCCGCCCAGAGGGGTTGCCTAGAGGCCTGGATGCCCAGGCGGGCGAGAAGGGTGCGCCCAGGATTTTGAGGCGGGGCCCTCCCCGCGGGTGCTGGGCCGGGACCCAGCAGGGGCGTGTCCTCATGTTAGAAACAGAACAATTCATCTGTATCCCTACTGACTCATGGAGCAGAAAGAGCCCTTAGATATCTTCTCCATTCACCCCATTTTACAATGAGGACATGGCACCTAAAGCCATGTTGCTCTGTTCTCAAGTTCATAGAGTAAGAGCCCTTAGATGTTGGGGCAGGCTGCTCTTACTTCAGTGCAGAAAGAACATTTATGTTGCCTATTAGCATACATGATATCTTAGAGTTTTTACTGAATTTACTGATATGTAAAAACGTATATTATTCCGGTGGCAAACGGGTGGGGAAGGCTGCGCGCCCCGCTACGCGCGGGCTGGGCTTTGGGCCAGAGCGATCGGATCCTGCTCCCGCGTAATTCCGCGGGTGATGGCAATTGTTGACAATGAACGTTTGCTCAGCATGCGTCCGTGCCAAGACCTGTGCCAGGAGCTTTTGAAACATGTTTTGAAAATCCTCACAGAACCCGAGGAGGTGAGTGCGCGGTGGTATCCCATTTGCAGCTCCGGGAATTCGGCCTCGGCGAGGGCAAGGTCCCCCAGCTGGCGGAGAGGAGAACAGACCAGGGCGGCTTAGTGTCTGGCCTGTGCTCTTCTGGGCGCACGCTTCTTAGCTTCCAGGGGCCTCCGTTTGCCCGGCTCTCAGATGGGGCACCTCCTCTTTTGTTTGTTTTTTCAATCCTCCCCCTCGAGGATACATTGATTTTTAGAGAGAGGAAGAGAGAGAAATATCGATGTGAGAGGAACACATGGATTGATTGCCTCCTGCACAGCCGGGGCTGGGGAGGGGCCTGCAATCCAGGTACATGCCCTTGACCGGAATCCAAGGCCAAGGCTCTACCCATTGGGCAACCCAGCTTGGGTGGATTGCTGAGTTTTAAGGCACATTTGTAGAATATCTGGCTCTGAATAGGTGCTAACAACCAAACGCAGTGTTGCTGCCTGGCGATAAGAAATAGATTTGCCGGTCATTTGATGTCAGCGGAGCGGGCCTAGGGACAGGAAGTGGAGGAATGGAGTGCGAGGGGCCTCCTCGCCTTCCCAGGCCCCCTGATTGCCCCTCTCTGCCTCTCACCCCCGTCCTCCCCAGGGTGGACTCCATCATGCTGGTGGAAGAGGGCTTCAGCGTGACCAGTGTGGACGCCAGTGACAAGATGCTGAAATATGCGCTTAAGGAGCGCTGGAACCGACGTCATGAGCCCGCCTTCGACAAGTGGGGTATGCGGTCCAGCCAGGCAGGCCCTCCCAGCCCAACCACCAAGGACACTGCTCTCTCTGCCCTGGGCTCCTGGGCAGGGACACAGCAAAATTACTGTCATTTCCCTTAAAAGGGAGGCTTAGGTGCCTTTTTAATTATATTTATTTATTTTACATATAATTGATTTCAGAGAGGGAGAGGGAGAGATTGAAAGATCAATGATGAGAGAGAATCATTGATCAGCTACCTCCTGCACGCCCCCTACTGGGGATCGAGCCCACAACCCAAGCATGCGTCCTGACAGGGAATCGAACTGCGACATCCTGGTTCACAGCTCGATGCTCAAATCACTAAGCCACGCCAGCCGGGCTTAGTTATATTTATGTCTTTCCCTCCCCCCCAATAAAAGCCCATAAGCACAGAGTCCTCCTTTTGAACCATGGCTTCCTCTTCTCTTGACCCTTCGCCCTTTCACCCTCCATGTCCGTAATGATCCCCTCCCTGCGGAGTCCCTGTGTGTCTCTTGAGGGGAAACCGAGGCAGAGCTGCACTTGGTGGAGATGGGTACTGGTGGTACCAGGGTGCCCGCCTGATCTCCCTTCCTGGCCCCCAGTCATTGAGGAAGCCAACTGGATGACTCTGGACAAAGATGTGCCCCAGCCACCAGAGGGCGGCTTCGATGCTGTCATCTGCCTTGGAAACAGTTTTGCTCACTTGCCAGACTGCAAAGGTGAGAGAGGGTATGGCCTTGGCACGGCCCTTGCTTTGAGCTCTACCCCCTTTCCACAGCCCTGGGCACCTGCTCTCCTGCCAGAGCAGACTATGCTTTCTGCCCCTCTCTGCCTTGGCACTGGCGTCCTTGGGTAGTAGCAAGATGGAGGGGAGACTGGTGCTGGGGGCCCTGAGTAGACACAGCCTCTCGCCCCTGCCGGGAGCTCAGGGGACCAGAGTGAGCACCGTCTGGCGCTGAAGAACATTGCGAACATGGTGCGGCCAGGGGGCTTGCTGGTCATCGATCATCGGAACTACGACCACATCCTCAGCACAGGCTGTGCACCCCCAGGAAAGAACATCTACTATAAGGTGGGCCCCTGAGGGAGGGCCCAGAGTGGGAGGTGGGATCCTGGGGTCCAGGCCCCACAGCGGCTGCAGAGACTAATGCAGCCTGCACCACCGCTTACAGAGTGACTTGACCAAGGACATCACGACCTCAGTGCTGACAGTGAACAACAAGGCCCACATGGTGACCCTGGACTACACGGTGCAGGTGCCGGGGGCTGGCCAGGACGGCTCTCTTGGCTTGAGGTATCCCCTTAGCTAGGTGGGGGATGAGTTCGGGGGGCGGTGCTGAGGCCACCAGTCCTCACGGTCGGTCGGGTCTCTGTTGCAGTAAGTTTCGGCTCTCCTACTACCCTCACTGTCTAACGTCCTTCACCGAGTTGCTCCGAGCAGCCTTTGGGGGCAAGTGCCAGCACAGCATTCTGGGTGACTTCAAGCCTTACAAGCCAGGCCAGGCCTACATTCCCTGCTATTTCATCCATGTGCTCAAGAGGACGGACTGAGCGTGGCCTCAGCTCCCACAACCCTCTGCCCGGTGTTGCCAGGCTGGGTCTGGGGAGCCCCATGCCAGCAGCTCCACACGAAGATCCTGGCGGTGTGGGGAGGGGCCAACTGCAGCTGGGGTGCAGGGATCTGGGTTCAGGCCATTGTGAGGGTGAACAATACAGTCTGTGCCTTTTTCAGTTCCAGCATGTCTTGTGTTTATGTCGGAAGGATCAGGCTCCTGTGGAGCCCACCCTGCCCTCCCCTGGGCTTACTCTGTCTCGCTCTTCCCCACACCACCATGCCACCACACCAACCACCACGCCACCACGCCAACCACCACGCCACCACGCCACCACGCCAACCACCACGCCACCACGCCACCACACCAACCACCACGCTAC